GTATCATATTTGACAAGTTGAGTTTTGTGAATTTGACATCAGTGTCACAAAAATTAAAATTCAATGTACTGAATTTAAATAGTTGGAACGTACTTACAGACCAGATTTGTGTGACTAAGGTCTTAAATAAAAAGTATTATTTACAGTTTTCCTTCACAGTAGATTAAAACTGTGTCAAAAGCATCAGTGAATACAATTTTAAATAAAGCCAACTCTGTCTAAATGCTGGATTAGCAGAAACTGTTTGATGAACAGATAAAAATATGTTATTTTCAGTGTAACTAATATAATATATAAGTTAACACATTCAGCAGCCCTTTGCTTTCTGACCGAGAACACGCACCAGACCAGTCACACCTACCTTACCTGCCTTTCTGAGCAGCACAGACACATGTTCCCCTCTAAACGTACCTACTGCCACATACAGCTATACATTTCACTCAAATTTAGCTCAAATTCAAAATAAAAAATAAAACACAGAGTGAGCCTGCTGTGGCCCAGTGGACTTACACAACAATGCTTTTTCTGCTCGACCTCTTAGTCTTGCCAGAAATCTGCAGCTTTCTCCTCCACATCCCCCCTGCTCACAGAAAGGAGATCACCTGTTTTCAAGCAGGAGTTCAGTGACCACAAAGAGCAGAGAGGAGGTGGCGAAAGTGGGAGGAAGAGAGGGAGGGGAAGGGCGGCGTAAAGAATGAGACCTGACTATCTGGTCCTTTCACTCACTCATCGTCACCAGCCTCTGCTTTATGTTCCCCTCTGTGAACAGATTGGTCTTTCAAATATGTCCACATTATGTGTTTATGACTGAACAGACACACATCTCTTTCTCCCCAAAAGCCAACATTTTACATTTTGTAATATATTTAAATTCCAAGGGTGTCCTAATAGTTTTTCAGCCCTCAGTACTGAGTAAAAAGACCCATGCTCTGCTTGTATGAGCTGCGCTCTCAGATTCGTACCAGTGGAAACAAATTTATTTTTTCAAACAATGGGCCATGGAATTTTCCACTGCCAATAAAGTCCAGTTTATCTAGCCTTAAATGTTAGATTTAATCCTAAAATATGAGTTTTAGCTTTCACTGTAAGGTGTTATCATGTTGCTTTTTTCACTCTAAAACTAAACATTCAGTTCGAGTCCAGATGAAATATTAAATTAAGTACTTCACTTTTCAGTTCAGCACATATGGAAACTCGTTATTCTTGTGAAAACATGAATAAAGTTTTCTGTTCTGAAGATGATTCAGACCGTGTGGAGTGTTAGAGGAGATCCCAAATGCAGAGATGTGAAAGCAGAAAGTAAACCCTTTATTGACTGGTTTCAAATTCTACAAGAGGCAAAACATAAAGTCCAACAAGGAAATACTGAAAACTACAAACATCTGAAATATAAAGCAAGAAACTACACAGGGGCAAGTCGGAGCAGCCACTCTCACCAAAGACAAGGGGAGGCAGTGACTATATATACACTGAAGGGCAATCAGAGAGACAGCTAGGGAGACTGAGACGGCTGAACTAAATCACAGTAGATAAGACCAGGGAAGAAAAACTTAAAACAAAGCACAAAGAACACTACAATTCAAAATAAAGCAGGAAGTGTGATAAGTAAACTGGGAAAATACAGACACATGAATGAATTTGACACAAGAGGACGAAACAGTGAGGAAATAATTTAAGAGGAATAAACACCAAGAGTCAAGACTATGACAAGAGCAGTTCTGTGAGGCTGTACTTAAATAAAGTAGCACTATTAAGCCTACCCTTATCATGCTAACATGCTCACAGTGACAGTGCTAATATATCTTATATTTAGCAGGTATAATATTTATCTTGTTCCATCAATTACTATGTTAGGATGCTAACATTTGAGCCACAAGATGTAATCTCTCCAGCGTGTCCTGGGTGCACCCTGGGACCTCGTCCCAGCAGAACATGCCCAGACACAGGAGGACACAGGATGTCTGAATGTTTCACCTCAGCTGGCTCCTTTTTATGCAGAGGAGTAGCGACTCCACTTTGAGGTGATTGACAGAATTCATCACCCGTCTCTAAGGAAAGCTAATTTCTGCTGCTTATATTGGTGATCTTATTCTTTCAGTCATTACTCAGACTCGTGACCACCGGTGAGGATAAGGGCATAGATCAAACCGGCAAATTGACACCTTTGCTTTTATGCACAGCTCTCTCTTCAACCCATCGCCCTAAACTCCCACTCCCCTAATGCTCCCCTGTGACTCATCACCTCAGTGTGGTGGAAAGGCTTGTGTGTGTCATTCCATGGGCCTTTATGTTGGTCCCAGTGAAAGCTAAAATAACAAGGGACCAGTTTACCCTGCCAAGGAGAGGATGCCCTACACTGGAACTAGACCTGGGTAGGAAGCTTGAGGGAGAGTGCTTGGTGGTCTTAGCCCATGGGGCCTGGTTAAGCACAGCCCAAATGTGTATCGGACAGCAGTCAAGACCGGAGGCCCTGGTGGTCCAGTCCCCGGCTGCTGATGCTGGCTACTGAGATTTACAGTTGGGATTTAATGATGTCTCCATGACACTGTGGTGCTGAATGACAGTGTTGCAGTCACAGTTTCCTGTTTCAGTAACAAAACTGAACTTATTTCTGACACAATATGTACAAACCGCTGGTCTTTCTCTCCCTGAATTCGTCTTCTCTCTGGCACTAAAGAAGTCTAAGCAAGATTCACAGTCTCTGGATTTAACAACGAGATAATGATCCTTATGCAAACACAGAGATACACGCACGCACACTAATGATGAGGTTAGCAATTGCTCACCCGTCCTGGAAAGCCAGTTGCTGCAGAGAGATGGAGATTAATGCACGCGCACACATTGAATCCAAGCATGCTCAAATTCAATGCACATTGTCTCGTTCTCTTTCCTCAGTGACAGTTTTGTAGATTTCACCCAGGTACACACACACAAACGTACACATCCACTTTGTCTCTTTCCAGGTGTGACATAATTAATGTGAAGGCTAACACAAGCAAAACAAACTGCTGTCTGCTGTCACGGTGAGTTTTCACACCCAGGAGATAAAAATTCAGACTGTGTGCATTATGTTTGCAAAAGCACCTGCATGACTGAGAATAACAATGTCTAACGGACAGTTGAATAAGTCTTCAGTTTGAACTGTCATGTCCTCAATTACCAGAAGGAGGCAAAATTCCATAATACTTTGACCACACTTATCCCAGATGGAAAAGGATGTATTATTAACTGTATATTAAAGCTATAATGTGCCTGCAGTACGACTGGACACATGAATTTGAAGGGAGATTTCTATAATGTGGGTTCGGTAACTACAGCAGCAGCAGAGCAAGCATACGGGCATACACCAGTCACCTTTCTGCAAATATAGGGGAAAAAGATGTTTGCACACAGTTCATACCACTGTGATCAGAAATGCCCTTTGAAGCATATCCATCTCCATCTAAAGGTTTAATTCTCCAGTTAAAATGTTGTAATTCCCAGGAAACACGTGTGCTGCTAGCAGTTCCTGATGCTTGGCTGCGACTCTGCATATCTGCACGTGTAAGGAGAAGGTCAGCTGTTTATGTTGTGCTGACGTTTCCACTCGGGGGATTTGGGCCTCGTAACGCAGCATGACTGGGGTCACAGCTGAGGAAGGGAGAGGCTAACAAACACATGGTTCATATTTTGGAAATGCCTGACTCAATGAAATAAGCAGCTACATGTTGTTGACGGCCGTGTTTGCTCCAGGAAAAAAAAAGTGGGCAAACAGGAGAAAGAGAGCCACGCGTGATGAGTCTAAACCGCACTCGTGATTCAGCTTGCTCTTCTACCCTTCTCACTGCAGGTTTTTTTTTTGTTAATTGTTTGACACATCAAGGGCACTACAGCATCCTGAATCAAAGCCTCAGCAACAGAGTCGGTGCTTTACTGCGGCATCAGCTTCTGGCGTCACAGCCGGGATTCCCACCGGCACAGAGAGGCAAAGAGGGGGAGGCAGCGAGAGGTGATGAAGAATACAGAAGCAGAAGAAGATAACAGATGTGTAAAAGGGATTTTTCAGTCATAAATCTTGTGAGGGGGAGCTGAAGTGACAGAGGTTGGGAATACAGAGCGTTCTCTAAAATGACTCAATTCTGTTTCCCCCCATCTCGACAAAAAAAGTCTGTCTGAAAACTTTTTGCACAGGTAGTGCAGTAAAAAGAGTTTCTCTGAACAGCACTTGAGTTAAGTTATATCGCTAATAAAGTGCAATAACAGAAAAAGGGGGTTTTGGTATGAAGCAAAATGCTGATTTGTTTGAGGGAGTGAAAATAGAAGCATGTGGACAATTCTGCAAAATCCACATTTTTCGAGTTATAAGCAAAACATTTGCAATGTGACATTTTTTCTCGCTTTCCTGGAGTTGTCTTTAACTGCCTGAAAAATGTCAAAGCCCAATCCATCAGAGTCATTCAGAGCATTAAAACTGTAATGAAACAACATAAGCCTTGTTTCTTCCTCGATTTTTCTCCAGTAAATGCTTCCAGGGGAGCTTTTTTATTTAAAGCCATTGTTTCTCTTACTAAAATATCTGTCAACACGCCACAGCAGCAGTTATGTGTCAGCGCTGCTCTTAAGTTCTTCAATCAACTTTACGCAGCTTAACACTTGATGTGTTTTCACTGGTGCCGATCTAAACCTGCTCAGCAAACCAAAGACCTTTTTATAAACAGCCTCAGTGTTGACATATTAAACAGTAATGCATGTTGAAAGAGAAGAGAAAAAAAGGAATTCAAGGCCACATTCAGCGGCTTTGACTCATAATGCCAAGCCACACCATGTTTTCATCACGGGATTATTACATTTTATTAAGGTTAATGTTTAAGCTACTCAGATCTTAATTATACCTGTATGAAAATACATAAATACATTTAAGATTTAAAAAAGTGATGTAATGGAGTAGAAGTCTTAGGCTACGTCCACATTAGCGCAGTTCTGTTATCCATTTGAAAATTTAAGATTGATTATTTTATGTGATTATTTTCAAGATGCTTTTTAAGGCAAAGTCAATCAGACTTACATTTTTTCGTCAATTAATCAAGTGCATATGATTTCCTTCACTTTTAATTCCTATAGAAGCAGTAAGGCTATACTTAGTTTTTCACAGGACTGCACAGAGTCCTGTGAGGACTATAGAGGGGAAAACATAAAATTATCAGGATCTAGAGTCTATCCCAGCTACCACTGGGTGAGGAGCAGGGCACACCCTGGACAGATCATCAGTCTGCTGCATTGCGAACACAGAGAGATAGACAACCATTCACACTCATAGGCAATTTATCATTACTAATTAACCTAACCCCACTAATAGCATGTCTTTGTACTGTGAGAGGACACACAAACATGATGCTAATGCCACAAGGAAAAGCCAGATGATGAAGTCCAACTTGGACCTTCTTACTGTGAGTCAGCATTGCTGACCACTGCACTGCTTCCTCGTTTGCTGTGGTCAAGTGCTCTGCTGCTTGTGTTTAGACCCACAGACCCACCGCTAAACGTTAGAAGCTGCTTATTTGTGTTGATTAGTTTATAAGTGTAGCTTATAATTATTAAATGTTTTCCCA